GGGGCGTCATGCTCCCTCGTCATCTCATGAGTCATAATATTAAGAAAGTGACCTTAAAGCATTAGTTTGTATTGCTTTAGAAAAAATGTGACCTGTCCCTTTAAGAAAAAGTATCGGTAATTGGTATCGGCGAGTACTTGATCAAAAGTATCGGTACTCGTACTCGGTCGTAAAAAAAAAAAGTGGTATCCCTAGTCAAAAGGTATTCCATGGTAGGTCCTGGTGTGGTTGAGGGTTGGTAGATATCTCTCCCCACCAGACACCCGTGTATCCTATCTCTGTCTGTCCGCCCTGAACGGGGCAATTGCTGGCCAATGTTCAAGCTCCACGTTGTCAGCTGTTTAATATAAATGAAATGTTATCATCTGTCGCCCGGCGCTCCGACAACTAATAATGACCTCAAATGAAAGATCGCCATTGCGGGGGTATTAGCAGCTGTTAACAGTCTGTGATAATTGCCTGCCCAATCCCCGGGCCCTCCGGACATCTCCCGGCTCGGCCCCGCCACGACAGACGCGTCTCCTTCAGCCTGACTTTGGCAGCGGATTTATGAGGGAACCTTTTATAGAAGGATGCGGCGGTGCCAGGAGGAGGATCGTCCAGGAAACATGCAGCAGATGGCGGGCCGGGTAACATGATCTCCTCCCTCAGAACTTCGGAGAATGGACCTCAAAGGGCACGGGGTATTAAGGAAGGATGACACTGTGCCGCCACAAGACTGGACCAGCCGCCAAGACTCACCAGCCTGCCCCCGAGTAGAAGCAAAGGTGGGGGAGATACCTGAACATTGCAGGATGGCCATGGGGGTCACCTATATAATAAGGGGGCAACAAGAGGGCCTGAAGGGCTAAAAGGAGATCTAAACCCTAACTCAACAACAATTTGTTTGCCGTGTGTGCTGCTTATAATACACAATTGCCCCCCTTTTTTTATAATTAAAATGCTTGTTTATAAATGTTTTCCTTCTTTAGCACATCTCAGAGCTGCTGATCTCCTGCAGCCTCCTTGCTGCTACTTCCTGTCTACATGACTCCAGTGATGGCTGCATGAAGTTTCTCAGAGCTGGTTTCCTGATGGTGACAACAGTGGACCGTGTCTGTGTAATCTGTAATTAAATGGTGACAACTCGGGAGAACAATTGTTAGGCTCATTAAGAGGACCTGTCCTGACCCTGAGATGGTGATAATCTTCCTCAACACAGCCAAGGCCATAATGGTCTCATATAGGAGGTTCTGTCCTGACCCTGAGAAGGTGATAACTTTCCTCAACACAGCCAAGGCCATAATGGTCTCATATAGGAGGTTCTGTCCTGACCCTGAGAAGGTGATAACTTTCCTCAACACAGCCAAGGCCATAATGGTCTCATATAGGAGGTTCTGTCCTGACCCTGAGAAGGTGATAACTTTCCTCAACACAGCCAAGGCCATAATGGTCTCATATAGGAGGTTCTGTCCTGACCCTGAGAAGGTGATAACTTTCCTCAACACAGCCAAGGCCATAATGGTCTCATATAGGAGGTTCTGTCCTGACCCTGAGAAGGTGATAACTTTCCTCAACACAGCCAAGGCCATAATGGTCTCATATAGGAGGTTCTGTCCTGACCCTGAGAAGGTGATAACTTTCCTCAACACAGCCAAGGCCATAATGGTCTCATATAGGAGGTTCTGTCCTGACCCTGAGAAGGTGATAACTTTCCTCAACACAGCCAAGGCCATAATGGTCTCATATAGGAGGTTCTGTCCTGACCCTGAGAAGGTGATAACTTTCCTCAACACAGCCAAGGCCATAATGGTCTCATATAGGAGGTTCTGTCCTGACCCTGAGAAGGTGATAACTTTCCTCAACACAGCCAAGGCCATAATGGTCTCATATAGGAGGTTCTGTCCTGACCCTGAGAAGGTGATAACTTTCCTCAACACAGCCAAGGCCATAATGGTCTCATATAGGAGGTTCTGTCCTGACCCTGAGAAGGTGATAACTTTCCTCAACACAGCCAAGGCCATAATGGTCTCATATAGGAGGTTCTGTCCTGACCCTGAGAAGGTGATAACTTTCCTCAACACAGCCAAGGCCATAATGGTCTCATATAGGAGGTTCTGTCCTGACCCTGAGAAGGTGATAACTTTCCTCAACACAGCCAAGGCCATAATGGTCTCATATAGGAGGTTCTGTCCTGACCCTGAGAAGGTGATAACTTTCCTCAACACAGCCAAGGCCATAATGGTCTCATATAGGAGGTTCTGTCCTGACCCTGAGAAGGTGATAACTTTCCTCAACACAGCCAAGGCCATAATGGTCTCATATAGGAGGTTCTGTCCTGACCCTGAGAAGGTGATAACTTTCCTCAACACAGCCAAGGCCATAATGGTCTCATATAGGAGGTTCTGTCCTGACCCTGAGAAGGTGATAACTTTCCTCAACACAGCCAAGGCCATAATGGTCTCATATAGGAGGTTCTGTCCTGACCCTGAGAAGGTGATAACTTTCCTCAACACAGCCAAGGCCATAATGGTCTCATATAGGAGGTTCTGTCCTGACCCTGAGAAGGTGATAACTTTCCTCAACACAGCCAAGGCCATAATGGTCTCATATAAGAGGACCTGTCCTGACCCTGAGATGGTGATAATCTTCCTCAACACAGCCAAGGCCATAATGGTCTCATATAGGAGGTTCTGTCCTGACCCTGAGAAGGTGATAACTTTCCTCAACACAGCCAAGGCCATAATGGTCTCATATAAGAGGACCGTCCTGACCCTGAGATGGTGATAATCTTCCTCAACACAGCCAAGGCCATAATGGTTTTGTATAAGAGGACCTGTCCTGATCCTGAGATGGTGATAACCTTCCTCAACACAGCCAAGGCCATAATGGTCTCATTAAGATGACCTGACCTCAAGAAGATGACCTCCACAACCTAGCTTTGTTCCTAATAGACTCAATAGGAGAGTCTGTCCACTCCTGACCAAAAGAAGGTGCTGAGTCCCCCCTCGCCCACAATAACCCACCCAGTGCCTGAGCATGTTATACCCCAATGGGCCCATTAAGAAAGCCTGTCCTGACCCAGAAACGTTAACTCTTATGTGGCCATTCACTGAAGAGCTTGGGCGAACTGGGAACGAGATCTGAAGAGGGAGGAGAAGACCGGGATTTTACCATTGTCACTGGGAGTACCTGTGGGTGCAGGTAGGTCTGAGATGACACCCAGGACCTGTGTGATGAGGAGGGGTGGGTGTCAGAATTGAAGAAAAGGGTGACAAGGTTGGAGGGGGATGGGGGGGGGATAATTTACTCTGCTTCTGGAAAGTGTCGTTATCGAAAACGTTAACTCTTATGTGGCCATTCACTGAAGAGCTTGGGCGAACTGGGAACGAGATCTGAAGAGGGAGGAGAAGACCGGGATTTTACCATTGTCACTGGGAGTACCTGTGGGTGCAGGTAGGTCTGAGATGACACCCAGGACCTGTGTGATGAGGAGGGGTGGGTGTCAGAATTGAAGAAAAGGGTGACAAGGTTGGAGGGGGATGGGGGGGGGGATAATTTACTCTGCTTCTGGAAAGTGTCGTTATCGCTCCATGTGGAGGCGGTGCTCTGTGTCACTGCCCTGCCTCCTATAGGGGACTTTCCAGAGGGGGAGTGTGGATATGGCGTGGCCTTTCCTCTGCTGCTAGCCAGTAAAGCCTGGGAGGTGTGTGATAGAAGGGAGAGTA